AAATAATTCTTTTATTTATAGAAGATAGGGTATAATGATGATATTAGATTTTTATTTTAAATGGGTCTGTAGTAGGGTATTTCTACTATTTTACATGTAAAAGTTTGTCGTTAATCTACTTTTCGGCATGGCCGACTAAGCTTAGTTAGTCTTGGGCCGACAAAATCAGTTCAATTGGCCGAGCTTTAGTCGGTATGGGTTGGCCAACTGTTACGATCTTGTTTTCGATTTTTTATCCCTAATGAGGAGCTTCTGGGCATATATGGATGGTTGAAGATATTGTGAAACTGGATCTTCTCTCGGATTGGTTTTATTGAAATGTAGGTTATGACATCGATTCAACTTTCCTGTAATGTTTGGCTCGAACGCTCGTTTGTTTTTGTTTCTAACTGAATGGTTTGGGCTCAAATCATCTAGTTTTTTTTTTTTTTTGTTCACCTCGTGGCTTTGTCATTTTTACTGGAGCATAGGCTTCTGCATTGGTTCGACTTTCCTGTAGTTGTTGGCTTGGATGCTCTTTTATTCTCGTTTTTGACTGAATAGTTTCGACTCAGATTATGGTCATCTTTTTGTCCGCCTCGTGACTTTGTTGGTTTCAGCCTTGATGGCTTAGCTAAGATAGCTTAGTTTGGTCAGTCAAGTGGGCATCACATTTTGTTGCTAGTGGGCCAACTTTCATTGCACTATTCTCATCTGACCTTTGGATCCCTTCAAGAATAGTGCTAGCAATTTTTTTATTTACATATTTTAGTTCATCAGCTCTTTTTTTTCTTGAAAGCAACATTGTGATAAGGATATGAGAATTTAATGCAAAATGTATATCGTATTCAATTTCAATTAATGATTCAATAATTGAACTTTCTTGATTTTTGCGACTTTGATTCTTATAAATAGAGCATGACGAGACTCCTTCACTTACCTAATATGCTCTGCATCTTTTATTTTTTGAAACAATCGACTTTGGTGTGTGGTGATCAAGAACGTATCAAAAACCTTGGGTGATATCCACAACAAAGATTTGATCCATTTTTTCCTTCGTGAAACCGAAAAGATGAGACCTCCCAAAAGGTGTAAGGAAGAAGAAAGTTGTCACTAATAAGAGGAAAGTGGTTGCACTCCTACTATGGGATTAGGTGGGATCACCCGATTCGTTCTTCAAAAGTAAGTGAAGGAATGTTCAACAAATAGACCTGATCATTGATATGATCACTTAAACTTTTGCTGTGTTAGAAGAACCTTCGATCAACCAGGCTACTCAAGTTGTTACTAATGCCCTCTCATCACATGCAACAACGTTTCATTGCGAGGATACCATGTTGATTACAACATCTGAGTTAGATTAGTTCCTGGGTATGAGGTACTTTAGTTTAATTTATGAAATTTGATTGTTTTTTCTGAAGTTGTTTTTGTTTTATGATGCTTCTTGATGTAGATGACAAGACATTGGTAATCCTGGATGACAAACTGATTTCGATCGACATATGTGAGAAATTGATCGTGGCTCTAGTGAAGATAGACCAGACGTTAGGTGAAGACGATTGAATCTTGAGTGAGGATTCATAGTTGATCATCCTGGCTTCCTCTCTGAAGAACACAAAGAAGAAACTGAGCAAATCAAGATGTCCTGTGAGTTCCTATCCCATCTACTAGACGAGATTGAGAGTTCCTTTGCTTGGTCGGCGAGGATCCAACATGATGAAGAGATAATGGGAGATATCAGCTCGTGTGAAGAAGATGAAAAATATAGAAGATGTGATAGTGTCTCTTCATGGGGAGCTACTTGACTTCCTAGAGATATCCCTATTGATCCAAGTCCAAGCCAAGTCAGATAGAATATGTCAGTTTAGGTTTGAAGGGGTTATAAGTGGTTGCTTTTGGAATAATTTTTTTTTCTTTATCTCATTTTCTATGCCGATGTGATCCTACTATAAGTGCATTATGGAAACTACTGTAGAGTTCTATTATTACCCCTGCACTATTGTTAAACTTCCTATGTTTCCCTATATATATAAAGGGCGTAGGTTCCCTTAGATCACATTTTATTTGCCTCTCATCTTATCTCTCACTCTCCCATTTTTCTATTTTTGTGCTCTCCTTTGATATCTCCTTGATACTCTCCATGAGATCTTCGATCGGTTCCCCTTAGCGATCGAACTTGGTTGTTTCAAGGCAAAGTCAATCTGCTACAGAAGGTCCGTGTCTAGGTCACCAAGATGGAAAACTGAGCTACTTCTCTTTTTTGTGATGACCTCATATTTTATAAAGATCAATTTCAATTTGCTCTCTATCTGCTATTCTTCCCAAGTGTTTCATTTTTTCTTCTCCCACGATGACATCCTCCCACTCAGATCAAGCCTAACACTATCGCAGCCACCATGACCTTCGTCATATACTACTGGCGATCAAAAATCATTTGGTCCATCAAACTCTTCAGTCATCTATTATTCTTTTGGGTCGGCCCTGACAGGTTTTTCCTTTTTTTTGTCGACAAATTGTTGGAGTGGAAGAACAAGTGAAAGATTGGAAACCTCACTTCTGGTTCCTCCGCACATGGGTGGTACATCCAAACAATCTCATCTTGGAAAACCCCGCCAAAAGTAAACCAGAAAACATCAGTCAGAGTGTCATTAAATGCCCTTAAAGTCGAGGGACAACAATTATATGTCCATCATTACCTTGAGTTGGAGTCAATCAATCACATGCTGCAGCTGGCCATCTATGAGGAGATGGTGGAGGAAAAATGGGTGGCTTATAATGCCCAAAAGGTTGAAAGAGAGGCGATAGTGATTGCTCGGGCAGCTAAGATAAAGGCCTGCTTAATCAATCACTCTAAACCTACCAAAGTGATCGATTGATTAGTGTCAAGGTGGTTCAAGCTGGAGAAAGCTTACAAAGTACAAATTTTGTTTATTTTATTTCTGCTTCAACTGTTATTTTTCAAAAAAAAATGATAGATAAGGTAATCCTCATCACAAAGATAATATTTTTGATGCTAGCTATAATTTCTCTATCGGTTGTGAGTCCTTTGAGAACACAATAGCAACAGGTCAAGAGGATGTCTAACTAGAAGGAATAGAGCCGGTTCGATGGGGAGGCTTCAACAGAAAGATAGGAAGTAGAATCTACCAAGCGTTGGTTGCTACTCGGATGTTCATCGAACTGTCGCTGAGGGATGAAGCCAGGTGCCCTTCTTCTGGTGGCCTAACTAGATCTCTTTAAAGGGATCTGCCTGAGCCAATCAATCACTAGGGTGAGCTTTGACATGAGAGAAATGCATAAGTGATCGATTCAAGTGATTTTCTATGTAATATGTGGATTCAAAATTGAGCAAAAGCTTAAATGATAGGTTCGTGCTAATTGACTTCCGAAAGGACTGGTACTTTGACTCTCCTGTGGTGGCTCGCTATCTCCTAATGAGAGTCGATGTGATTTGTTCTAACTTCTTTAAGCAGGACCTTCTAAAGCAGAACTTACCATTGTGTTGAATGACTGACATATACCATTTGATGGCATGGTAAGCTTTTCAATACCCCAAAACTTACCTCATAACATGCCCTCAAGTAAAAGCTCATAACTCAGTGGAACCCCATGAGAATAATAAGTGCTCTTATAGGTTTCTAAACAATTCAACTTGTTTATCAAAGTAAAATAATAGTGTTTAAATGCCATCTTAGGATCAATTGTTCTTAATGATTAATAATTTGATCTTTTTCTTTTTATTCTCTTTGTTCTAAACTTAGGAAATCCCAAAGATCATTAAATGTATGTTATTTAAAATATCTTTACAATGTCATTAATGCAATTTTAGTGGATTTATTCAATTTAATACTATTTAACTTTTTTTGCTTAAAGATAACCCGGAGGGAGTTTCATTAATGAATCATGAAAAAACCTTAGCTTTGTAGTTCCTTTTTTTCCTTAAATTTAATGTGTCAACCTCAAGCTTCTTCTCAGTGCTTTTAACTTTTTGACTTCGTCTTTTTTCTTCTTCTTTTATTTTCTTTTTCTTTTCCATTTTTCTCCTGAGAATTAATATATATGGTAGGTAACATTTTCCTTTTCATATTTTAAATATGATGAAGGGTAGTGTTCTTTAAGCAATAAATCTCGACCATGATAGTTTAATATCACACTTTTATGTTACCTTTTTAGTTAAAGTTTAAGACACATTAAATCGGTTAAAATAAACTAAAATTTTAAAATAATTAAATAATATTTTTATTTATTTGTTAATCCGTTTATTTATTCATTAAGATTAAAGGAGCATGCACAAAATTAAACAATATTTATTTAAAATTATAAATTTAAATCATATGCTTTAAATTTACCAAAAAAAACATAAAATAAGTGAAATTTACCATAAAAAAAGGATTTTTTCTCACAATGTTTGTGTATTTAAATATAAAACACCCAAAACATTTATATTTAGATGAATAATACTTAAATTTTTAAACTTATATAAAAATATCACCATCACTAGATTTATAAAAGTAAATATATCTTTTCATCAATAAATTTATAATATCAAAGTATTATAAGTGTAAATATCAAGCTTTTGATGCTATATATATGTAAATACATGAGAACTGTGTTGCATGCATGTAATTTTTTTTCCAACTCGAGAATATCTTCATAAGTTCCACGAATATAACGATAAAATTTAAATTTATCCTCGAATCACACCAAAAAAATAGAGCGAAGAAGAGAAAATGATGATTAAATGGAAATAAATAATTAATCGAACCGGCACTCTTTTGTGATGATTCGAACCGGCTTTTTTTTTAGTGGCACAATATTATAATTAATTTTCAAAATTTAATTGTAGCTTGCGGGCATATAATCATGCCGTAAAAACCTTAAACCGTGCAGAGAATCCCGAACCACCCGTGCGCCTCAGCGGGTAACCCGCCACCCACCGAACCGGTCACCCACCCATCCAGAACCCACCACTACCGGCCATCACCCGTCACCTGCGTTTTGAATTCCCGAACCGATCCGTTCCCCCTCGGGGTACAGTGGTCCCCACGCACATCTCACTTTAATTTCTCCTCCTAATCTCATCTTCATTTCATCGCGGCCATCTCTCTCCGGACCGGTGGTTGCAATTTGCAAATACTCATCCACCGGTCCTCCCCTCCATCATCGCCGCCGTCCACCCCCACCGCTTCGGTCGGCGCCGCTAGTGATAATCCGTACGCTTTTTATTTCCTCCGCTCCATTCCATTATAGATCGGTGTTTTCTCGACGCATTTTAAGAGGGTTTTCCGTTCGTTTAAGAAGTGCAATCTTTGAAAAATCGCATTTTTATCAGTTTCCGATTTTTTTACCCCTTCCCCTTCTATCGGTTCGCCGCAGATTTTAATTCCTTATCCTTCTCTTTAATTTTTGTTTCCTTTTGTTTTTTACTTCCGAAAATGCTTTTTTTTTTTTACATTTATTGGCTTACTCGCAGCCTATAAGAGTGAAGGGAGCCCTAAGCCTGAAAGCAGTCGCCTTGTTTCCCTGTTTAGTTGCCAGAACCTATGGGCTTTCCCGTCAGCGGTGCCTCCATGGCGTCGGACGTCGTCGCCGAGCTTCTCGAGTTGGCTGCTTCCGATCAACTCATCCGCTTCCGCCACGTCGCCGCGCGTGAACCCGCTGCCGTCCATATCGCCGGTCACTGGTACGGTCGGTGCCCGCTCTCCTCCTCCATGACTATTCTCCAGCGAACTCCGCTCATGGTGGCGGCCGCTTTCGGCAGCCTTAACGTCCTCCATTTCATCATCTCACTCTCTGCTGCAATGGATGTCGACATCGACTTCCGCTGTGGCCCTGACGCCGTCACTGCCCTCCACTGCGTCGCCGCTGGCGGCGCCCCCACCGCCTCCCTCGCCGCCACTCTCCTCCTCATCGCCGGAGCCGACCCCAACGCCCTCGACGCCGTCGGCCGCCGTCCCGTCGAACTCATACCCACTTCACCCATTCTATCCTCTTTACGTTCCTCCCTCGAAGCAGTTCTCAGTAATGGCTCTCCGCCAGTCACTCCCTCTTCGGACTCAACCTCCTCATCCTCCTCTCCTCAAGAAAAAAAGAAGAATTACCCAATTGACTCCTCCATTCCTGATATCCAGAGCAGAATTTACTCCTCGGACGAATTCCGAATGTTCTCCTTCAAAATCAAACCTTGTTCCCGGGCCTACTCTCACGACTGGACGGAATGTCCCTTCGTCCACCCCGGCGAGAACGCACGGAGACGAGATCCACGGCGGTTCAATTACAGTTGCACGCCCTGCGTTGAGTTCCGGCGTGGTCTGTGCCCAAAAGGCGATCTCTGCGAGTATGCGCACGGGGTGTTTGAGTGTTGGCTTCACCCAGCACAATACCGCACTCGCCTCTGCAAGGACGGCGACTCTTGCAGCCGCCGCGTCTGTTTCTTTGCCCATTCGACCAGTGACCTCCGCTCTCTGCCAAACTCTCGATCAATGGCGTTGCCTCACCTTCTGGTTAGAATTCCACGCAGCAATGAATTCGCAACAGCGAATTGCGCTTCTCCTCGCTTCCAACCTGATTACATCCCATCAAACTTGTCTCCAATGAGCAGAAACCAGCAGCACGGCATTCTTACTCCAAGAACACTGAATTATATGCACTGTGTTCTTTCCCCTCGCAGCATCTCTCCAAACGCAGATGGGGCGGGTTCTGTAAGTTATCTCCTTGATTCTCCTGCTTCTGAAAGCGGGAAGCTTGAACTGCAGTTTCAGCAGCAGCAGCTGATGAGAAGCGTTATTGCTTCGAATTTAAAGCAGGATTCTGAGAATGTGAACCAGGAACTGGTTGAAATCGAGCCAGATCTTTCATGGGTTCAGTCTCTTGTGGGAAACAATGAGATTGGCAAAGGTGTCTCTTTGGGTGATGGAAAAGCTCTTAATTCCGCCATTGATGACGAACAAGCAACTTTAGGAGCTTGGCTGGAGCAAATGCAGCTTGATCGTAAGATTGTTTTGTGAAATTTCTGAGTTCGTTTATTGGCTTGAGGACTATTCGTTCGTTGATTTCGCTAGAATAAGATGAAAGAGATCAAGCTGAAGATGATTCAGACATTCAAATTTTCAGAAAAAAAAAAACTTTTTTGATTTGTTCTTTGAATTTTTAGTTCGGGATTGTGAATTGTATTGATTTTCTTCTTAGATGCATGTCTTCATTGATCTGGTTATGGGATCTCCTAGGTGGAAATTATTCATTTCAAATGTTTTTTCTTTTTCTTTTAAAAAATCTTTGTAGAGTAGTAACAAGAACAAAGAGTCTCTTGTCACTGCTCTCCAATCTGGTTTATTCATATCTTTTTTTAATTTCAACTTCTATCATCTGTAAACATTGATTTTAATTCCATTGATTTTGAGTTTATTTATAAATTCTGGTTCATTATGTTCCATCATCTGCACTTTCTTTAGATTCATCATTCATTTCTCATGGTATCTCTTTGGTACAAATCATTTATTTCACCTTGTTGATGCCATTTACAATTTCATCTTAATTCAACTGACATTGATTAGGTTTTTTTTGGGGTCATGCATATCACATAATTCTCATATATATTTACATATATTACAACTAAAATTTTATATTTACATATATATAACATTCAAATCTTTAATATCATATCAAAAATATCACTAGTAATTGTTTAGAAAAGTGAAATACACTTCTTCATGCATACATTTATGATATTAAAGTGTAATAAATGTAAATATGTAAATGTAGATATTATATATATATATATATATATATATATATATATTCATACACACATCAGAATTATATGGTTATTGGCTTAGTGGTCCTAAGTGATGGTTACCATTTTTTTTTTTTGGAAAGTTAAGCCATAATTGCAACAAAGCTACGAATTATTAAGTTGAACCCATATTTGTTCGTGAATCACGTTTAAGGAAATGAACGTGATGAGAGAGAAATATACAGATAGAGATGAGGTACATTTTGTATGTGGTATCAACAATCTTTATTATATTTAATGCTCCTTTATTTATAGGGGTATGATAATTATATACCCGACCACTTTTATCGGTGGGCCCCTAATCAATCAGCTTGATGTTATGCAATTGATGAATATATGACTGGTCATCTTCTTACCGGCCAACCTCAACATAAGCGGTCTCTAAGTAGATCAATGTATCGTTTGTCTTGCCCCTGGTTTGGTTGACCCTTCAATCGGATGTCTACTGTCGCTTAGTAGTCCTCAATATATTTTTGTTATTCTCGTAGAGCTATGTCAAGTGGCGCATGCTTCGCTGGAAGTCGTTTGAACCACGAAAGATCATGTCAAAGATATTTTTTATTGTGAATAATAGTTTGACCATGAAATCAGGGTTTATTCAAATTGCCTATGTTGACCCTTGGGCTCAACTTTCCCCCAAAAAAGCTCCAAATTAGCTTTTCAATAAGGAAGCTTTACATACATACCACTCAATTCCTATGTATTTACATATCTAACAACTTCAATTTTTATGTACATATGTAACATTCCATATTACCTATGCATAAAAAAAGTGTATTTCAAATTTTAAATGTTAAAATGGTGGTATTTTTTAGGTGATATGAAATATTTGGATGATATAAATGTAAAAAAGAAAAATTTAGGCTCTAGATATGTAAGTAGTTGGTATGTATGTAATTTTAAATGTCCCTTTCAATAATATAATTTTAAATTAGACCATCTGAAAGTTATTGCTCATGAGAAAGGTTATTGAATTTATTTGCTCTTCTTTATGTAGCCTAAAGCTTCGTTTTATTTGATATTTCTATGTGCTTTATAGCTATACATCAAAAAAGAGTGTCAACACGAATCTTAAAAATGATATGCCAACTGCCTATAGATGACATGACTAAGCAACACCCTTCAAGGACGATTCCTGATCATAAGACCGGCAACTTCATCAACACCACTCGAGAGAGCGACATACTCCCGAGGAATCAAGGGACTTTCATCCCAGAGGGATTCTACATAATCATGCCCACCCAAACAAAAAGAATCGCCCATCAAACTAACCCGATAATCACCCGATCTGTCAACCGCACAGTCCAACAGCCGTCTGGCCTCACGACTGCTCGACAACACAACACCCGTCCACATCGCCACCCAATCTGAACCTGGATGGCCAAGTCAATGGGTCTCACATGACTGTAATAACTCAGATGTGTCATTGAACTATAAGGGCACAATGTATAATTGCACAATAGCCCATTCCTATAAATAGGCGGTCCTTTCACGAATAAAATGGGTAACTGACTATTCATTACTTTGCTATTGCTCTCTCTGTCTTTCTCTCTCTCAACCTCTTCCTTAGGCATGTCTCCCGGACAAATCTAGATTCAACTATAGCAATGAAAATATTCTTTTCCTGAATTTCTCTTAATTAATTTAGAAAAAAATAAATTTGATTAAAATGGAATACAAATTATGACTTTGTAAAAACAAAAGTTATTTGAATTAAGAAATGTGGAATTTACAAACATAACCCCCATTTCCTATTTATTTACGCACCTAAAGACTAAATATTACATTTTTTTAACGTTTATATCACTCAAATCTCTTATAAAACATACAAAAATATCACTATTTTAACTTCTGAAGTGCGAAATAAACCTTTCCATGCAAGTAAGGTGGTATGTAGCATGAATGTACAAATAAAAGTTAGGCGTTAGATATGTAAATACATAGAAATTCTATGATTTGTATGTAAATCTTGATAAGAAAATTGATTCTTTTATTTTATTTCATAAAACTTACCTTTTTTTTTTTAAATAAACATTAAATACACCCTTATTCGTGGCATAGTAGTTGAGAGTATGGTTTCACACCGCCATGAAGTCGAAAAAAATATTACATCAGTACTCCGCACGTAGAGTTACATGCGAAGTCCAATAAAATTACGCCACAGGGGAATATTTCTCCAGTGTTATTCAGGTGTTATTGTATGTTATTCATCTGTTATTCTGTTCCGATAATATTCATGATGTTATAATAACACAATAACACGTCAATAACACTTGAATAACACACAATAACACCTGAACAACACCGAAAGAATATTCCCGTGTGTTACGGGACCGATTTATATATATATATATATATATAAAAGCTGCCCAAACGAAACCTAACTGATAGGTGGTTCGGTTCATCTGCTGTCAGGGCAGAACGCACGAGTTGGCCAATTGTGTTGTGAGATTCTGAATGCTCCCACTAAAATAATGCACATATTTCCATAATTTGTCAAGAAAGGTGAAAGAAACTTGAGGGCATGACTGCATAATATTTAATGGAATCTCATTCCTTATTATTCTTTTTAATTATCATTTCTATAAATTGAATTTATTGAATTGCCTGTCGCCCTCCTCTTATGTTCCATGAAGCATTGCTTCCCTCAATATGTCTCATAATTTGGCCTTTTGCGTTATATGGTGCTGCATTATGTGGCCCAAGTGGATCTACATCACCCTCCCCAATTATTTTAATCATTTCCTTTTTTTTTATAATTGTTTTATTTGTTTTATATATATATATAATATTATTATAAATAATATATCTAATATATTATTATATAAATAATTATATAAATTTTTTTATTTCGAGCTAAAACGAGCCGAACATGAGTGAACAAAGAGCTGTTCATGTCGGCTCATTTACAATTCGAGCTTTAAAAACTTGTTTGTGTTCGGAACGAACGAGCCGAACAAGCTGCATAACGAGCTGAGCACGAGCTGTCCGTGAACAACGAGCTTTTTTGACCGCACTAATTGCGAATGCTCAAATGTAATCCTGTCATTATATCAATATGTTGTGTTCAAATTGGAAAAAAAAATACTTTTATTATTTTAAATATGATTTTTATTTAAGATTTTGGAATCAGATTCTAATAATATTTCTTTTTTATTTAAATATTTTTGTTTTAGTCACCGAATTAAATTAAAAAAAAATTTACAATAGTTAATATTAAGACCTTGTGGTGTATCTCGTTACATGCATCTTGTCAGTGATTTACATAGAAACCACTCAATTTTTTTGTATTTACATGTCTAACACAGACTTTATTTTCTTCATGCATCACTATACATATGCTTGAAATGTCCCATGGCCCATGAAAATTATAGGAATTGGGTAGTATGTATGTAAATGTCCCATGAAAATTATATTTTTATTACTTTAGGTGTAAGTTCTTGGTGGGATAGTTCGACTTTGTAGCCAAGTCATTCTTTTCTCTTCCATTCAAGAGGTCTCCTTGACACTTTCTCGGCATATGTAAGTCTCATTTATATGAATGCCATCCAAATAGGGTCATAGGAAATTAGATGTTTCCTTCTCTTGACTATAGGGCAACCAGGATTTCTTAGACGAGGCAACACATTGGTTGCTGACAAGAAATCTCTGGTTGGGTTAGGTCGACTGCCTCCACGACTAGGCGGACTTAAGAATCTTAATTGCTCAGGATGACGAATACAGGAAATCCTAAACTGACTATCTCTATCAGCTTATGAACTCCTTATCTTTTTATTGACATATCCCATTTGATTTCATTCCATTCCTTTGACACGTCGTTGATGTCATTTTATAGACGTCGTTTGCTGATAGGGCGCCGCCCGTTTTGGATAAGGTGATTTACTTTCTATGCTTATGGTTTGGTATGACTTTGAAGCATTGGGATGATCCAATTTGAGATGAGCATATTAATTATTGATATTCTTCTTCACTAGAGATCAAAATGTAAGCAAGATTCTGTTAATCAAGAATATTCTTGGGCATCTCTCATGCAAGATGTAATTAACCTAAGTAACACGTTCTTTTAGAAGTTCCTCTTGCCCGCAGAACAAAAATATAAATTTTGGTTCTCTAGATATATGTGGGTAATTTCTATAAGATCTTTTTTGTGGATGTGCTTTCAAAGTGTAATAAACAATAATATGAATTGTTGATAGACGGGGTACAATATATGAAATAATACTTTTGCCCTTACTTTAATTGGGGTGTTATGGGATATTTCAAATATTTTACATAAGCAGGCTTACGACTCAGCTGCCCTCCAACTCGCTCCTAAAATCAATGAGTATTGGT